CACACACACAGTAAAGAAAGGTTACACTGCAAGCAAATTAGGAAAAAAAAAGACCCGCTAAGATTATAGAGCTTTAAATATAATAACTATTGAAATTTTCACTCTATAATAAAAATTTTTAGAAAAATTTTTTAAAAATAATTTTTTTATATCAGAATAAATTTCATCAGTTATAGTTTTTAAAAAATATTTTTTCAGATTTTTTAAAAATTTTTATGGCAAAGTTGTTCAAAGGTCGAAACCCTAGCAAAAAAATTTTATAAGTAATACTTATAAAAATTTTTTACTAGAGTTTTGACCTTTGAACATATAAATTTTGGGCATTCGTCTTATAGAATGTCTTAAATTTTATTGATTTAGAGTAAAAAAAATTATCTGAAACCTTAAGTTAAAATTTATTTAAAGCTTTTTCACAAAAAATTCAACATTAAGCCTCCAATGAATGCTTTTCATTCAAAAAGAATTTGAAAAATAAGTACAGTTTTCATCTAAACCTTTTAGAAAATTTGCATTTTTTTGATATAAAAAATAATAATATCTATTAATTTCGCCAATAAAATCTGGTCTTAGTAAATTGATAAATGTTGCTAATGTAGTTTTGATTACGTTGTCTCACTTTAGCATGCCATTTTTAAATTTTCACCTCTTGAAAAATGACTTTGGCAATTCTTAATGCAGACAATGAGACTAAGGCTGTTTTTAAGCATCTAAATCAATTGATCAGATAATCGCCTTTGGAAACTTGGTGTTGTAAAATAAGTGAGACACGAAGAATTTCTAAACGCAGTGTTATTTAATGAGTTAAAATTTTTTTAATTTTTTTTTAGGATAATTTTTGGCTTCGACGTTTTCTGTTTTTGTACCTTAGTAGCTAGCTTTGCTTTTTTTTTTTTTTGTAATTATCTCATGAATTGTATTTATTGTAATAAAATATAATTTTTCTTTATTGATTAAAAAATATCGAATTTTTTACATCATATATTATACATTCAAAAAATCCTGCCTCATATTCCAAACCAAACGGTCGGTTACCATAATAACTAAAATTTCACAAAAAAATTGTTAAAGCCAAACCTACAAAAAGAAAGAAATCGTTAGCTTCGATCAAGAAGAAAAAAAAATCCAAATTCCTTGCCACATCTAATTTTTATTACCTGGCACTAATCCGTCTCTTGGCGAAGTCAAAACCTACAAAAAGAAAGGAATAAATTAGTTTTGACCCAAAATAAAGAAAAAAGAGCAAACGTAAGAGAATAGAATTGGTACTTCCCCAACCATATCCGATTCTGTCACCTGTCTAATTCATCTCTAAACGAAGCTCAAATTTACAAAAGAAAGGAATAGTTAGTTTCGATCGAAGTAAAAAAAAAAAAAGAGCATATCGCAAGGGAAAAAGAAACTGATGCTTACACACCACCATATCCGAATTCCATCACCTAATACCAATTCACTTCTCGGTGAAGCCCAAACTTACAAAAAGAAGAGAGAAGAGTTAGTTTAGCCGAAAGAAAAAAAATAACATAAAGAGAAAGAAACTAGTACTTATAATTAGACCGGTTTCAAGTCTCCATTTACGACTAACTTCACTACAAAGACGGAACCTACAAAAGATAGAAAGAGTTAGTTTTGACTGAAAAGAAAAAAAAAAAAAACAAAGGAAAAACTAGTAACTTATCATTTTACCAGTTTTTCTGTCCCCAACCACGTAAATTTATAATTTCCATTTCCAAAACTAATTTCATAGCGAAGCAGAAACCTACAAATTAAAGAAAGTGTTTCAACCAAAAAGAAAAAAACAGAACATATCACTAGACCGGTTTCTTGTCTCAATTTAACTCCATAGTCAATAAGATCTCAAAGATTTACTTGAAAATCTTGACGAAACCGGTTCCCGAAAAGGCGTTACTTTAGCATAGTATTAGTTTCGAAGTCAAATCCAGAACTTCCATTGCGAGACTTGGCTAGTCATCGTGCTTTGGAGGTTCTCCATTACTCTGATATAGTTAGGAGTGGTTAGTAGAGCGAACATCGTTATTTAGTGGGCATCTTCAAAAAAATCATGTAGATCGATAAGTGCGAATAAAAATTTTCACATTAGTGAACAGATTATTCGAAACCGGTGTCAATTCTGAAAATCATACCAAAAAAAAAATCTTGAAAATATCCAAATATAATTCCTAACGCTAAATCTACTCTGTTTATTTAAAGATATGCTTTATAAAATCTATAATCTATCAGTATTTTTTATAATCAAGAGTACATTCATAATCTACCAAACAAATAGCAAAGAAAAATTTGAATTGTCAATTGATTATTAAAGTCTTTACATCTATCTTGTATATTATGTTCTCGATTACATTTCCCTCCTTTTTTTCCTGTCCCTATCATCCTCAATTGTCATTCTTTCATCCCTTTTAAGCATTCCACCAGTATTGTTCTCATATCTTTGCTTTTCCCATTCTTTTTGCATTTCCAATTTTTGTTTTTCTCTTTCTTGTCTCTTCGCTTTCCTCTTAGCCTTCATTTTGCAACTATAACAACGACACTCACCATCTGACCCATCCTCCTCGCTCTCTGTTTCACTCACTTCGGTGTCACCATCATCGTCAGTTGAACTTTTCTCGCTAGAACTAGTAGAACTACTGCTACTACTAGAACTACTTTCGGGTAATGCAGGAACTGTTTCTAAAGCTCTAATCTTATTTACCAAATTTCGATAAAAGTTTTTACTATGTCTTGTTCCTCCGATGGTTGACAATCGCACAATCTTTGATAAAAGCTTTTGTGCAAGTTTAGGGCGTGCGTTTCGAGTGCGTAGCCAAACTTGTTCAATAGAAGTTGGAGAACAAAAGTTTTGTGTGACGGCAATTGTAAAATCTATAATAAAAGTTCTTGTTTATGAATGCGTTTATTACCCTAAAACATAAGTAAAAATTAATACTTTACCTAAATTCATTACCACGTGATACCATCCACCCGGTACGAACATTGTTTCACCGGGTCCTTGTAACGCTTCAATCATTCCGTATTCCTCAGCAAGACTTTTGTTCTTTCCTTCATGGACTTCAAGTAACTTAGGAAGGACGCATGTAAACCAAGTTACAGCTTCATGATCTTTCTGCTTTGGATCAATTAATTTGCGAGGCGTGGATGGTGGAAAAAGGCACCAGCGTTTGTGGCCAACCAACAAAGTGTTCCAAGCAGAAGTTCCTAGTGGGTCAGCATGAATTCTAATAGAGAATATATTGGTTAAAATAAATATCTCAACCATTAAAGAATTCCATACTGACGAGACAAAAATTATTTACCCAGTTCCGCTTCTTCCACCACCAAGCACAAACCAGCGGTATGGAGGTCTGCGATTTTCACCTGTAAAACGAAAGAGATCATCGTCGAAATAAGCAGGAACCTTGTAATCTTTCAACAGACATTCCTTAGATTTCGAGTTTAAATTTTTTCTTTTAAGTTCTTCAACACTGGCTTTCTTAGATTTTCCACGTCTTCCAAAAGACGAATCAAAAATATACAATGGACTATCATCTTTTAAACCTTCTGTTTCTAAGTAGTGCATATAATACTTAAAAGTCATGCGTACAGGATTTCCTTTGTCATCCTCACCGATTTTGAATTTATGACGGGCATAATTTCGCAAAAGTTCCTATTAAATTAAATTTTATATTACAATATTTTCCAATAATTATAAATTTAAAATAAAATTCTTAACTAACCTCTTTATTCCATTTTGTTTCTGCTGCCCAGCCTCTTGTACAACCAGTAATAACAACAGGTAAACCAGGAGCTTCATATTTCTTGATGAATTCTTCCCGAGAAACTTGCGATTCATCGATTCGAAGAAGTTTGTCAGCGCATGATGAAATCCAATAATTGCTGTTGGCAAAACCAAACTTGGACCATTCAAATATGTCAAGTTCTAGTTTTATTATAGCAAGAAAATTAGATAACTTTTTTAAAACAACATATCCGACAATTTTATAAAACTTATACGAAACATTTTAATCAACTTCATCCGCTGCGCACCAATCCTCAATAAGGATGACAAAATAATATAATGCCCAAAAATGAGCTTGAGCCTTTTACTAAAACGGCATAAAAATACGACGTCATATAGATGTGGTATGATTTTTTGGTTTTAAGGGCAAGTTTAGGCTTAAAGAATCCATGATAAAAATACTAAAATTGAGACACTTGGCTAAAAAATTCCTAACAAAAAAAGCATTTACTAACCTGAACGAGCACTTAGTTTGGCTTTTTTAACTTTGCGTTCATACTTTTTTTGATTAATTTTAATTATATCGGTTGTTTTTATGCCATTTTTATCAGTGAGTTTCACAGGTGTATCACCGTCTACGTCTATTCGCTCGGAAATATTAAAACGAGTAGTTGATAAAGGCATTGTGGAAGTTGCAACTATATTATTATCCATCCGTTTTAAGTTTTCTGCAGTCAAGGCAGGCTATTTATAATTTTTTAAATCATATTCAACGTGATCTGATTGGATTTATCGTTGGAATTTAGTGTTTCAAATCAGCCGGCTTGCAGCAAGCCGGCTGACTTGGGATTATCGTAGATCAGTTTATAAATACTGAAATATATACTGTATTTTCGTCGACACGCCTTTTTATTCTTTTTGCAGAATTCGTTTCAATGACACTTCCTACCCTTCCAGACGAACTTAAATTTATCAATGGCTTCCTTCAAAGAGCTCAAGAGTTACGAAATAGAGAGCCTGTTATAGCTTATTATTGTAAGATCGAAGATCGGCTTGCACCGGAGTTGTTTGACCAAGATTTACGCGTTATTATATAATTTTCTTTTTATACTTACCTAGGTAATTTTTATTCTGTAAAACTCGCTCTCGAAAGAGGAACAAAGAGTAAAGAAAGTAAAGCGTTTCTTGCTAGATTGCTGGACGTCCTTGAAGAGGTAACTTTCATAAATTTATTTTTAAAATTATTATTCCTAATAATCCTCTAATAATAATCCTAAATATTTTATTTATATTTGAATTTTTGCTGTGGATTACCAGGAAAAAAAAGCACTTCATGATAATGAGGCTGCCGTGAACAATCTTGTTGGTGAAGCATATGTGGAGAATTTCGGTTTGAAGGTATTCATGAATGCAGATAACGAAGACAGGGCGGGAAAAGCCACAAAGTTAGTCATTTAATTAGATTAATTATATGCTTTTTATACACTTTTGATTTCCTCGGTTTAAATAAAAAAAAAAATTGATTATTTTTCTAATAGAAAAACTGCCAAAAACTTCTTGGCAGCTGCTGTTTTTTTAGAACTTCTCAAAGTATTTGGACCACTTAACTCAGAAGTAAGTAATACATCTTATGTAAAATTATTTAGATAACAATGTCTTTAACGTATCTTAAATTCTTAGATCGAAGAAAAAATCAGATATGCAAAATGGAAAGCGACTGATATAGTCAAAGCGTTGAAAGAAGGACAAGTTCCGACACCAGGTCCTCCTGGAGGTGAACCTGCTTTACAACAGCCACCAAGAGAGGACTACGTTAATCCATCTGACAACTTCCCTAGTGTTGACCAATTCCCTTCGGCACCTCTAGTGGTTGACTCTCCATCAGGATCTCATATAGAAGAAAATGGCCGACAGCCAATGCCAGGGTTTACTAATGACTCTTTACATCCATCGGGATCTCATATAGAAGAAAATGGTCGACAACCAATACCAGGGTTTACTAATGACTCTTTACGATTATCAGGATCTCTTATGGAAGAAAGTGGTCGACAACTAATACCCGGATTAACTAATGACTCCTTACGTCCATCAGGATCTCATATGGAAGAAAGTAGTCGACAACCAATACCCGGGTTTACCAATGACTCATTACGTCATCAACCTTCTCCCTCATTTCCTAGTAACCCTCCTCCACTTCCCCCATCAATACCTGGCTATACTAATGACACCTTACGTCATCAACCTCCTTCATCATTTTCTAGTAATCCTCCTCCTCCACCACTTCCCCCATCAATACCTGGGTTTACTAATGACACTTTACATCATCAACCTCCTTCCTCATTCCCCGGTAACCCTCCTCCACGTCCTCAAAATTATGCCCAGCCTTATAGCTCTCCAACTTACCAACCAACGACACCGAGCTCATTACCTACCAATCCACAGCATGTTCGTCCTTACACTCAACTCGCACATCATTTCACTGAAATTGATCCTAATATCGTAGCTACTGCTCAGAAACATTGTAAATGGGCCATTAGTGCGCTAAATTACAACGATATTCCAACTGCTATCGAAAATATGCGCAAGGCATTGGCAATGTTAGAGCCTTATAATCACTGATTGTATCTTTGTTCATATTTCCAC